CCTTTCTGTCTCTGGCCAGCACACATGCCCTATAGCAATGTAAAAATAAATAAATCAGTAAACACATAAATGAATAAAATCCACCTTTTAAAAAAAATGTACAGGTTAGTGGGTTTTAATATGTTTACAAGGTCGTGCAATCATCACCACTGTCTAACCCCAGAATATTTCATCATTCCCCAAAGAAATTCCATACCTATTAGCAGTTATTCCCTTCCCCCATCCCCTCAACCCCTGGCAACAACTAATGTACTTCCTGTCCCTGCGAATTTGCCTGTTCTGGACATCTCGTTTACAAGGATCATGTAATGGTACTTATGACTAGGTCGTCCATGTAGTAGTATGCATCACTACTTCATTTTATTGCCAAGTAATGTTCCGTTATGTAGAAGTACCGAACGTTTATTTATTTACCTGTTTATCACACGATGGGTATTTGGGTTACTTCTGCTTTTTGGCTATTATGAGTAATGCTGTTTCTTTTTTTTTTGGAAAGGTTTTCGCTATAGGGCGCGTGCGCTCGCCAGACAAAGACAGAGAGACAGAAAGCGAGAAATCACCCCCCAGGGGGGATGGTCACGCCGCAGTCCCTTCTCCTCCATTCTCCTCCCGGGATCCTGGGCACACACGCACACGCGCCCGGCGTGAGTTTTAAGCCATGGGGTCCGGGACACAAACCACGGTCGACTACGTGGGAGTCCAGCGACAAAGCCATTACACTAACTGCTGGTTCCCAGTAATGCTGTTTTGACCGTTGCTTGCTGTGCAAATTTTTATATAGATATAACTTTTTCTTAAAAACTCATAGAAAATGGGGGGACCAGCAGGTGGCATAGTGGTTACATTGCTGGACTCCCACATGGCCAACCACAGTTTGAGTCCTGAACCCAGAGGCTTGAAACTCACGCCTATTGCATATGCAAGTGTGCCCAGAATCCCGAGAGGAGAATGGAGGAGGAGAAAGGATCGCAGTGTGATCACTCCCCTGGGAATGATTTCTCACTTTCTGTCTCTCTGTCTCTCCAGTTAACACACACACCCAATAGCAAAAATCTCTTTAAAAAATTTCATGGAAAATGAGTACTACAAAAAAACTATGCATAGATTTCCAGTTTTGTTTTTTTTTTGTACCAAAATAAACTTAAAATTCCATTTTTCCATGACTTTTTTTGGCTTTCATATCTGAAAGTGGAATTTCAGGGTTATAGGGCAACTCTATGTTTAATTTTTAAGAAATGTCCAGGCGGGACCAGCAGTTAGCATAATGGCTATGTCGCTGGACTCCCACGTAGTCGACCACGGTTTGAGTCCCGGACCCTGTGGCTTAAAACTCATGCCAGGCGCGTATGCGTGCGTGCCCAAGATCCCGAGAGGAGAATGGAGGAGAAGGGATTGTGATGTGGCCACCCCTATTAGCAGTTATTCCCAAAGTAGCTATATCGTGAACACAAACCAACAACGCTACTGAGACCCTTTGTCAGGTTTGGAAGTTTATTACTTGCACATGCAAAGACAGTACAAGGGTAATTCCCAAAGCAGTGCCTCTCCCAAAATGTAAAAACACTGGTTCTTGGTACCAGTAGATGGTGTAATAGTTACGTCGGTGGACTGCTATGAAGTCCCGGACCCAGTGACTTGCAACTCACGGGTGAGTGTGTGTGCATGCCCAAAATCCCAAGAGGAGAAGGGATTGTGGCATGGCCATCCCCTCTGGGGAGTGAGTTCTTGCTTTCTGTCTCTGTTTCTCTGTCTCTCCAGTGAGCGCACTTGCCCTATAGCAAAAATCTTTCTCCAAAAAGAAAAAAAACTGGTTCTTTTGTGGAATAGCTCCTGCCCTCTACCTTCCCTGGTCTATCTTCATACAAATGAAGGACTGTAAATGCAGTTCTGATTGGTTTACCTGAGCCACACTGCCATTGATGTGTTTCATGCAAATGAAGGATTGTAAATGCAGATCTGATTGGTTACTCCCCATTTTTAATCTTCTGCTGCTGGGGTCAACTTTAGCTCACTTAACCTTTTCAGTGCCTACTGAGGAAGTCTGTCTGTCTGTCTTTCTTTTTTTTTTTAAGTTCCCAAGTTTTATTCAATAACTCACAAAATATTCCAGATAAATGAGTTTACTTAGGCTAATTCTGACAGGTAACAGATATACTGTTTTACATTCCTATCAGCTACTTATGAGTTTCTGTCTTAGCTAACTCTTGTTAATGTCCATTTTCTTTTTTCTTTTCTTTTCTAATTACCAGAAAACAAGTGGGCTCACCATCTAGGGGGAGGAAGCAGAGCAGATTACCACCAAATGGAGCATGATGATCCTGCAAACCTTTTCCCTTTGTTTCTCCATCAAGATTTTGGGCACACAGACACACGTGCCTGGCAGCTTCCTCCAGTGTTGGGATTTGAACCACGATTGGCCGAGCAGGATCCTATTCACTTAACCACTAGGCTACAGAGTGAGGTTGGCCATGCCACAATCCCCTCTGCTCACTCGCCTCTTGGGTTTCTGAGCATACACACACACATACCCAGTGTGGGCTTCCAGCTGCCAGGATCCAAACCAGTCGACTACCTAGGAGTCCAGCAATGCAACCATTACATCATCTGCTGTTCCCAGTGCTTTCTCTTGAAAAAAAAGTTTTTAATTTTGATTTGTCCTCTTTCTCCAATCGTTTTTTGTTGCTTGTGCTTTTGGTGTCATCTAAGACACAATCACCTAATTACATGTGTATTTTTAAGGGTTTTGTAGTTCTAACTGTTAAATTTAGAGCTGATCCATTTTATTTATTTATTTATTTATTTTGGAGAAGTTTTTGCTATAGGGCGCATGCACTCGCCAGACAGAGACAGAGAGACAGAAAGCAAGAAATCACCCCCCCAGGGGGGATGGCCACACCGCAATCCCTTCTCCTCCATTCTCCTCTCAGGATCTTGGGCATGCACGCACACGCGCCTGGCGTGAGTTTAAGCCACTGGGTCCAGAACTCGAACCACAGTCTTCTACGTGGGAGCCCAGCAACATAGCCATTACGCTAACTGCTGGCCCTTATTTAATTTATTTTCATTTCACCAGAGAGGGACAGATGAAGAGAGAGAAAGGTAAAGTGAGAAAGCAAGCTGCCAGGTCCAGGACTCCATTCACATTTGGCTATGTGGGAGTCCAACACCCTTACCCATCACGCCACCTGTTGACCCCCTGATCCATTGTAAATTTAACTTCTGTGTGTAGTACAAGATAGGGGTCTAGGTTCATTCTCTTGCCTTTCGTGTCTAATCATCCCATCACCATTTGTTGAAAAGACTATTTTTTGCCTGTTGAATTCTTTTTATACCCTTATCGAAAATCATTTGAATGTCCATAAGAGAGTGTATTTCTGAGTTCTCTTTTCTTTTTCATTGGTCTACATGACTTTATCCAGTACCACACTAGATTTTTGTTGTTATTGTTAGTTGACAATTTATGATTGTATACACTTACGGGGTACAAAGTGATACTGTGATTTCTGAATATAATGTGGAATAATTCAGATAGCTGCCAGCATCTTGCACCTCAGATACATAGCATTTTTGTGCTAAGGACATTTGAAATTTACTCTTAGCAATTTTAAAAGGAGTAATATACTATTGTTCACTATTTTCACCGTGCTGTGGAATAGAACTAAAAGAAAAATGTATTCTTCCTGAACCAGTATGTAATGTGGAGGCTAAGGCACTCAATCCCACACGGCCAACTCCACGGTCTGAGTCCCAGACTCAGTGTCTTGAAAAATCATGCCTGCGCGTGCCTGCATGCCCAAAATTCTGAGCCTGGGAAAAGGAAGAGGTTATGTCACCTGCAAATAGAAGTAGTTTTACTGTTTCTTTCTAATCTAGTTGCATTTATTTCCTGTGTAATTGCCGTGGCTAGAACCTCCAGTGCAGTGTTGAGTACAAGTGGTAAGAGTGGGCATCCTGCTCTTAGGGGAAAGTTTTCTGTCTTTTACTATTAAATACGATGTTAGCAGTGAGTATTTCGTAGACACCCTTTATTAGGGTGAGAACTTTCCTTCTATTCATAGTTGTTGAATTTTTTTATTTTTAAATCACAGATGGCATAATGATTACATTGCTAGACTCCCACATAGTCAGTTGACCATGGTTCAAGTCCCAGACCCAGAAGCTTGAAACTCAGGCCGGGCGTGTGTTCGTGCATGCCCAGAATCCCCAGAGGAGAATGGAGGAGAAGGTATTGCGGCGTGGCCATCCTCTCTAGGGGGTGATTTCTCACTTTCTGTCTGTCTGTCTGTCTGTCTGTCTCTCTCTCTCTCTCTCTCTCTCTCTGGCAGTCATATGCTCTCTATAGCAAAAATGTCTCTCAAAAAAAATAAAAGTTGGGCAGAGTAGAACTAAAAATTCTTTTGGATTTTCTTTATGTTTCTTGAACTTTAGAACTGCTTTAGTCTGGGGACCAGCAGTTGGCATAATGGCTATGTCACTGGACTCCCATGTAGTTGACTGCGGTTTGAGTCCCAGACCCGGTGGCTTAAACTCACGCTGGGCGCATGTGCATGTGTGCCCAAGATCCAGAGAGGAGAATGGAGGAGAAGGGATTGCAGCATGGCCATCCCCCCTGGGGGGTGATTTCTCACTTTCTGTCTCTCTGTCTCTCTCTGTCTTTCTGGCGAGCGCACGCGCCCTATAGCAAAAACCTCTCCAAAAAAAAAAAAGGAACTACTTTAGTCTGTTATGTCTCTAGCTATCCTCCCAGGGAGTGATTTCTCACTTTCTCTGTTTTGCACATGCCTTATGAGAAAAATCTAAAAGAAGAAAGAGCTAATTCAAGGTTGTATTTTGGGGGAGACAGTCCTATGGCAGTATCTTTCTGATTTAGAGTCCTGAGTCTATACCTGGTAGCCGCACGAGTTTATCACTCAAGGCCACAGTGAAAACAGCGTGGTCCTTAGCCCACCACTGGGCATCTTTCTGAACCCCCTGTGATCCATGCCACTTGTCTCCCACAGGTACCACGTCCGCAGACCTCACGGCCAGAATCTCCAGGGATGACCAGCCCCTCCCCGCGCATCCAGATAATCTCCACCGACTCAGCGGTAGCCTCACCTCAGCGCATTCAGGTACCTGCACCAGCCCCACTTGTCCCAGCCCTCAGCACAGGGAAGCCCTGCCTTCCCTGAACCCTTTCCAGAAACAGAGTTGTCTAAGGGTTTTACTAAGGCGTGTGCCTCTTGGGTATGAAGTACAGTCAACCTCATTTATTCCTTAAAAATAAGAGTAGGGGCCAGGGGCCTCCATAGCACACTAGGTGCACGCATGTACCCGTGATCCAGGCCAGCGGATGCTACCAGGGGTAGATCACAGTGTGGAAGCCCTGTGGGGGCTGCCTGTCTGTCTGTCTGTTTCAAGAAATACATAAACAAATTTTTTTGTTTGTTTCTGTTTTTGAGAGGTTTTTGCTATAGGGCGCGTGCGCTCGCCAGACAGAGACAGAGAGACACAGAAAGCAAGAAATCACCCCCCAGGGGGATGGCCACGCCATAATCCCTTCTCCTCCATTCTCCTCTTGGGATCTTGGGCACGCATGCACACACGCCCAGAGTGAGTTTAAGCCACTGGTCTGGGACTCGAACCATGGTCAACTACATGGGAGTCCAGCGACATAGTCATTACTCCAACTGCTGGTCCCAGAAATAAATAAATTTTTAAAAAATAATAAAAGAAATAAGTTGGACCAGTTTCTTGGTCTGGTGGCTAAGGCAGCTAGATCCCACATAGCCAACCCCATGGTTCGAGTCCCAAATGTGGTGGCTTGAAAAATACATCTGGTGTATGTGCCTGTGTGGCCAAAATCCCAACAGATGGGGAAATGGAAGAGAAGGGATTGCAGTGTGACCATTCTCCATGTGACGTGTTTTGTCCTTCTCTCTCTCTCTCTCTCTCTCTCTCTCTCTCTCTCTGCACACATACCTCTGGCAAAATTTTAAAAAGAAAAAAGATTACATTTATTTAAATTCCTTTTCCCTTGAGAAGTTTATCTGTCCATTTCTTTCAGAAGAGAAGAGAGAAACAGAGAGAGACAGGCACACCCAGCAGGGTCCCCATGCTGTGCTCTACCCTTGGTCCCAGCCAGCCAGAATTAGGGACGTACACTCATGCACTGGGAGGACCTGGAGCTCGAACCCGTGACACACTCATGTGGCTCCAGCATCACAGAACATTACCTCACTGCTATACCACTGGCAGGCCCTTAGCTAACTTACTTTTTAAACAAAAGTATAAAGTGTCATTTCTTACTGTTGGGGTGAAATACCATTTTATTACTTCCAAATTGAGAGGCAGTATATTCTAGTAGTTAAGGGCCCCCCACGTGAAGTCAAAGCCAGTGGCCAACTTAATAGCGTTTTTTGACCTTGGACAATTAACTTCTCAGTGCCTAGCCTTTTTCATTTGGAAAAGTGTGCATAATAGTGGTACTTGCCTCCTAAGGTTATTGTGAGGAGTCAATAGGTCATGACCTGTAAAATACTCAGAGCAGTGCATGGCACACAGTCATGTTCAGTAAGTGCCAATTATCTTTAATAACTATTAACTAATGGATGTTCACATATGGGATGTTCAGTCTTCCACAGGCCTTTGAACCTGCCTGTCAGACGCTGAGTATTTTATTCACCTCTTTGAACAGAGACAAGGTATGTGTATCCACCGTGCAGGCAGCAGGCCAAGAGGATAGCCAGATTAAAGAGTGTTACCTCAAAAAGCTAAATCAAAAGACGAACCAAAAAACATGAAGAGATGCACAGCAGAGGAACACTAAGTACGTAACATTAAGTATAGGAGATGCCAGGCGGAAAGATTTGAGTGAATGAAAGGCTTGCTTTTGTTTATAGGTTAAGTTCAGTGTAAGTGAATAGTATGACAATTATAAGGTAAAATGTGTAGTGTTTGCCCACTTCTTGTTTTTGTTTTTTTTTTTGTTTTTTGTTTTTTTTTTTTTTTGAGAGGATTTTTTGCTATAGGGCACGTGCACTTGCCAGAAAGACAGAGAGAGAGACAGAAAGCAAGAAATCAACCCCCAGGGGGGATGGCCACGCCGTAATCCCTTCTCCTTCATTCTCTCGGGATCTTGGGCACGCATGCACATGTGTACGGCGTGAGTTTAAGCCACCGGGTCCGGGACTCGAACTGTGGTCAACTACATGGGAGTCCAGTGACAGCCATTACGCCAACTGCTGGTCCCATGCAGGTAGTTTTTAGCAGCATATTCCCAGCTCTTCCCACCTGTCCCTTATGACATTGCCGTTATTCATTAAACTATTCACATGCTTTTATCACCTAGTACATGATTATTATTTCATTTTTAAAGTTATTTTTCAGATCAGTTAAGAGTAAGAAAAATAAGATTTAATTTAGCCTTCATTGATTCTTTCTATAGCACTCGTACCTTCATGTAGATCTAAGCATCTGACGTCATTTTCCTTTTACCCAAACGAAACCTTCCCTTGATGATCTTAAGGTAGGCCTGCAGGTCATGAATTTCTTGAGTTTTTGTTTGTCTGAGAAGGTCTCTATTTTTCCTTCACCTTTTTTTCCAAACATTTTAATTGCCAGAAGGCATATGCACTTTCCAGAGAGAGAGAGAGAAAGAGAGAATAAAGTATTTTGAGGACATGCACATGCTTCTGTCATAGGTTTTAAACCTCTGAGGCTTGGAATTGAACTGTGGTTGTCCTTTGGGGTCTGCTGGTCTCCCCACTCTGTGAAATAAATAAAATAAAACTAAAACAAATTATATTTAACTAAAAATGTATTTACCTAGAAGAACTGAAGTCGATTTCTTTTACCCTTTTTATTTTAACGTTAATCACCTTTGCTGTTATGTCGGTATGCTCTAATGTACCCTGACATGTCGTGGTTTGGTAAGTATTATAAACATTTACATACGTCTTATATATGAGTACTTTATTTTTATGTACATAGATGAAATAGCACGTGTGTGTGTACATAAATGATATGAGAAATCTGCAGAACTGGTTTTGTGGAGTACGGGAAAACAGACTCTTCAGTGGACCGCTAATGTATTTAAAATGAGATCCAAACATGTATCCTCCTCTCTAGGTTCCTGGGCCATTCTCTCTTTTTTCCCCTAAGTTTGCTTATTCCATGAGTAAGAGGAGCAAAGAGAAATAACCGCATCCTCCACAGGGCCTTGACACTGCAGTCCACCCAGCTCCCGTCAGCCCAGATCAGTCGTGCACCCATTCCCAGCTCACTTAGGCTTTCTCTAGGCCTGAACCCCCAACCTTCCCATGGGGTCTACCTCAACAGAGCACCCTGTTTTACCACTGCACTACTGCTGGCCCGCCTGGCCACTTTATTTGTTTACTTATTTTAAATCGCTCATCAGAGAGAGGCAGAAAAGGGAGGGAAACGCGCCCCTCACAATGGTGCATGGTCACACTGCAGTCCCTCCTCCATTTCTCCATCATATTAGGGTTTGAGGCACATGCACATGCATCCTACATGTTTTTTAAGCCACTGGGCCTGGGACTCGAACTGCATGGTCAGCCATGAAGGACCCTCCTCCTCTAACCGCTAGGCCATGGAGCCAGCCCCTTCCGGGCTTACTCACGATTGTTTATGGGCCTGAGAGCAGTTCCAAGTGTTCCTTCCTCTCAGAGCTTTCCCCATGCCTGATCTTTTCCCTCATCACCTGCCCCATAAATTGAACAAACCAGTTCGCTGGTTTGTTCACTCATTTTTTCCAGTCTCTTCCACTGAGCTGAAAGCTTCCTGAGGGCAAGAGCCATCTTCGTGTGCCCATCCCGTGGCGAACTGCCTTCGGAGCAGACCCCAGTGACTGTGTGAGGAGTGCGTGAAAGAGCGAGTAAGCCGTAGCGGAGTCATCTACCCAGTGGGAGAGAATCCGTGAAGTGGAGAGGCAAGCCGCACTTAATGTTTAGTGAGGAGGGAACTGTGTCAGAGCTCAGAAGAGGAAATACCGGCACCAAGGTCCTGTTGGTCTGGGCAGTGGACCGAGAACTTTCTCATTCAGCCTATCATTTTGCTTCCCGAGTTTCCCCTTTTTAGAGCCGCGTGGACAGAGACTCAGAGCTTATGTGAGTGGTCCAAGCTGGAAAGCGGGGAGGTAGTGGAGCACGCCTTCTGGACGGTGCCTTGGCCTGGGATAGCACGGCCAGCTCCAGCGTTATGTGACTTGAGCGTTCCAGGAATTCCCCACGCTCTGCAAAATGGTGTGAACTACAGGATAGGAGCGTGGGTGCTTGTGCAGTGGTCGAACAGCGGTGCCCTGTGGGGCTGGCCTGCACGGGCACAGTCCAGAGACCTTCCTGAGAACACAGGACATGGGTGCCCAAGAAGGAATGGCTGGAGCTGGAATTGGACCATGGTGTGATCCTTTGGGTGTGTGCAGGGGTGTTGCCTCTGGCTGTTTCTCCTCCTCCTCCTTCTCTCTCTCTTTCTCTTTGTCTCACTCATGGAAGAAATTAATAAACTTTTTTTTTAAAGGATTTGTAGGG